AAGATGTTTTTTTTTTAAGAAGTCTCTTCTGCTCACCAAGGCTGCATTTATTTGATAAAAAATACAGTAAAAATTGTAAAATATTATTAGAATTTCAAACAGTTGTTTTCTATGTGAATCTCTGTTAAACTGTAATGTATTTCTGTGATGCGCAGCTGTATTTTCAGCATCATTACTCCAGTCTTCAGTGTCACATGATCTTCAGAAATCATTCTAACATGCTGATTTGCTGGTTTTGTGATCTGATGATTGCAGTCGTGTGTTTCTGTAAGTGATGATCATATACTGTATATCAGCCTCAGTCTGTTTCTTGTTTCCAGGTTTGACGTCGCTGATGTTCTGTGGCAGTAATCAGAGGTTACATACAGCTGTGTGTGTGTGTGTGTGTGTGTGTGTGTGTGTGTGTGTTTGGCCTTCGGCTACTAGTGTGCTGCTCACTGTAATTGGAGGCAGTTAGGGAACGATGTTAACAATAATCACGGCGATACGACTCCGGGAGCACATTCTGGAATAATTGTGGTTCCCGTGTGAGCTGCTGTGATGCTGGACCGTAAATAATTGTGGTTCCCGTGTGATCTGCTGTGATGCTGGACCGTAAACACACACACACACTCACTCACACACACACACACACACACACACACACACACACACACACACTGTTAGCATGAGCGATTGAGCCGCCGCACACGTTACACAGACATATGAGTCTAATTATCAGCATAATCACATTAACATAACAATATTCATGAAGTTCATCGCATTCTGATGCTGCCTTCATGCGCTATCGGAAACCTCCTACTTCCCCCTTCTGAAGTTATAAGGAGTTTGTCCTGTTCAAGTGCTTTGTTGTCGAAAGAACAGAAATCACGGTGGACAGACTGTTCATTCTTACCTGTTTCTTGGGGAAATTTTATTGAAGCCAAAAGGTATACATTAGGAGATATTATAAGATAATGTGAAGACACATTTTGAAGGCTCAACAAACTTTGGTGTTTCACTTATAAATTACTTATAAATGTATTTTAAAAATAATTTTCTTTCTTTCTTTCTTTCTTTCTTTCTTTCTTTCTTTCTTGTACCGACAATTCATTTATTTTAATTTTTATTAATTATTTGTTTATTTTAGTTTTTATTTATTTATTTATTCATCCATTCATTCAGTAATTTTTGTATTTTTATTATTTTTCTCTCTCTGTGTTTTAAATTTGAGATGGTTTGTCAGTTTTTGTACTAACAATTCATTTGTTATTCTAATTTTTATTACGTTATTTATTTATTCAATAATTGTATTATTTATTTATTTATTCTTCCATTCATTCATTTATTATTTTTTTTATTCATTGTTTTTCTCTCTGTATTTCAAATTTTACATTCTTTGACAATGGTTGTACTGACAATTCATTTGTTATTTTATTTTTTGTATTATTTATTAATTAATTTCTTAATTAATTTTATTTTTATTCATTCATTTCTCTCTCACTCTCTACCTTTTTAAAATTTTAGATTGTTTGTTAGTTGTTGTATTTCCTAGGTTTTTAGTAAAAGCCTAATCAGGAACAAGTGCTGCAGATGAGCTCTGAGAGAGAAGCATCAGCTGCTCAATACTCTTCTGTTCTGTAATGTCTCTGTTAAACAATAAATAAATGAATAGATCTCCTGTGCATCTGCTGCATTCAAATGTAAGCGCATGGCATCTCAGTGCATTTAACTCTCTCTCTCTCTGGTGTGGTTCTCCCTCAGGTCCTCTGCGTGTGGTCGTCCCCACCGAGTCGGTCTTGGCTCATCTGGGCGACACGGCTCTGCTGCGCTGTGAGGTGATGGGCGAGCCCATGCCCGTGGTGCGCTGGCAGAAGAACAGGGAGGACCTGCCCTTGACCTTTGACCCCGACAGCAGAGTGGTCATCCTGCCCTCCGGATCTCTGCAGGTCAGCAGAATCCAGCCGCCGGACTCGGCCACGTACCGCTGTCTGACGGAGAACCCCAGCAGCTCCCGCACCGGCACAGACGCCGACCTGCGCGTCATACCGGGTGAGTGATCCGCTGACCTCCACTAACTAGTGCCCCGCTGACCTCCACTAACTAGTGACCCGCTGACCTCCACTAACT